CCCCAAAACCCCAAAACCCCAAAACCCCAAAACCCCAATTTCTTTTTATAAAATTGATTAAAATTCGAAGATCTGAGCTCCAAAGTTATAAGACTTCAAAACTTATCAATGCAATTTTTCCAATAAAATCTCTCTATTGAACAACTATGATCACTTCCCACTAAACCACATGACCTGGTTGAAATTAACCACTCCAAGTAAAGCAATTAACCAATTCCATGACTCAATCCTCTACCAAAAATCATCATTTTCTTAACTCTCAATACCCAAAGCCCTTCCTAAATCTATCCTTTACCCTCCTCCACCTCTTCACTCTCTTTCAAAATCCTCTACCTCTTCCTTCAGCTTGTCTCTACAGTACAAATCTCATTGGCATCCCGAACAAAAAATACTGATTTTGTTCTTTAGGGGGTTGAAAATATTTCTTGGGCGGACTGGAGAAGGAAAAGTGAGGGCTGTAAGTGAAGAAGGAGGGGGTTTAAGGTTGGATGGAAGGGATGGATAAAGGTTTGTGGGTTTGGGGGGTTAGAAGTTTAGTAGAGCGTAATATTTTAGATGGATTAGGTTAGAAAGTTGTGTTAGACAAGTCTTATAAATGGCAGGTTATGATAAGTCTGATGCAGGGTACCTATATAAACTTATCAATCTGAGCTCTTTCAAGGCATAATAATCTATAGCTCCATAGAGAAAGATCATTTGGCCCCATACCACCGAAATGCATCCAATCCAAATAACTCCAAGACTAACCACCCTCATCTATATGCTCTCTTCATACTTCCTCTCTTACTTAATCTCATCACCCCTACTCCTCTTCTTCCTCGCTTGTTATAGTCTTCTTTCCCTTTACACACGACCCACGGAGTTTCCTTGTCCAAACTCTTCCTTCCAGCTACAGAAACACAAGGATGCGGTGTCAGGACCTTGAACTCTGGGTATTAAGGATAGTATATTTGTGAGCTGTGGTCATTCTTAGTGTGAAGAATTTTGAAAAAAGAAGCGAATTGTGGTCCTGAGGCTAGGAAGAAGGGTCTTGTGTGGGAAGTGTGGGTTGATGAGGAGAGATTTTGGGGGTAGGTGAGGGTTGAGCAGGGTTTGGGTGGGAAATTTGGGTATTAGGAGGTTAAAGAGGATTGGAGGGAATTTGGGAAATATGAAGTTCTATGGTTATTTTTATATTTTTTTATCATTAAATAAGATCTTTATTGAGATATTATTTGAAAGTTAATATATGAACGATGCTTATTCAGATGTATTGTAGTTTTGAGACAAAACGAATAAATTTTTTAAAGAACATTTTTAATGGTACTCACTTTAAAAGCGAAAATACAAGTTAATATATGATTTGAAAACTCATGAAGTCTTTGTTTTTATCGTTTCAGGTGAAACTATTCCCTTACCTCAATCTTCTTTCTCAAATAATCTTAAAATTTCAATCCATATCAAACACCCTAATACTCCCACCCAATATAACCCCTCAAAATCTCTCCAAAACGTCCTCAACCCTCTCCTTCACCTACTCTTCCAATTTTTATAAAAACCTATCATCCCCTTCTAAATCTCTGATTCAATCACATTCAAATCCTGCACTCCATACATCTCAATATAACTCTCCAAATTATCTTCCTCAGAAGCCCTGGCTACAAACTTGACTTCCTCCAGGCTAAACCTGAGCGTGCTGGTCGATACCAAGTAGAGGAAGAAACAAGTGGAGTTGTACTTGAATGGGAATTCTGGAGAAGAGTCTACTCTGAATGGAAGAGTGTTACCTAGGAGTTCGAGGTGGGTGGTTTTGGAAGGGATGTGAGGGCTGAGGGATGGGGTGAACGCTTGGATGAAGGAGAAGCTGATTTTTATGTGGGGGATGGAGTAGCCGCAAGTGAAGAGGGTGAGGAAGGTCTTAGGAGTGAAGTAGAAGGCCATGATTTCGATTTTGGCAATTGTGTGGGATATTATGGATTTGAATTTATAGTTTGAGATAAAGTCATTCTTGCTCAAAGTTGAGAATCCAGAAATTTTGGTCTGTTGTGCTCTCAGAATAGGAATATTTTTACTATAATTCCTGACCTTATTATCACTCCTATTTGTCATAATCCAAGTCTTTTTGATCTGTCCCTTCGCAATCACCCTCATCTTTCTGATTCCCTTCAAAATCTTCAATGAATCAGCTGATCATCCACTATATACCACCTCTCTTCTCCAGTCTAAATCCCTTTTGACTTCATTGCTGATCCTGGCAAGTTTATGATACTGAAGATTATCCAGTCTCTGTTCCTTTCTGTAAAGCTCCATTTCCCATTTCTCCATATTTCTTAATTATTATATTAAAATTCAGAATTCGGGGTTTTGGGGTTTTGGGGTTTTGGGGTTTTGGGG